CATATCCACCATGTATAGGAATATTCAATACAAATGAAAGGAAACAACACTTAAATAATATTGTGCTTATTGTTTTCTACTATTATTTTTTCTATCTTCACGGCCCGAAATTTCCCAACTTTTCCAAGTCGAAAAAACAGCGAAAAGTTGGGAAGAAATTAAACTTTTTTAAAGTTTTCAAACAACTCAGAATTTCAAAGTATGGGATCTCCAAGTTATGCATGTTGGGAAATCTCCTGGTTCTTTCCCTTTTCTTATTACCTCTCCCTTTCTTTTCTCTCATTTTAATTTTTTTAATATTAGGTATTCATTTCTTCACTATTATTTTTTTCTATCTTCATGCCCCAAAATTTCCCAACCCCCTCATGGCGACGGCTTTGCATGGAGTCACTATAGATTTATTCCAAATAACAAATCCCAGTGCTTTGCGCTAAGCTTTGCAATAAGCAAATTACAATCGACTTCCCTATTCTTAATCTATGTACACGACACCCTTTTAACTTAAAAAATTCTACAAGATGGCGATGACACAATCCTTTACTCCTTTGGCCCTAATACCCGCATCTTACAAACACAATCCCAAACAATAATAAACCACTTTGAGCACTGGTGCGAAAAGTGGCGCGTCAAAATGAACTCCTCCAAAACCCAAATCATCCTATTCAGACACCCTAATACCTCCAACTCCAGGACTCCAGGGGTTTATTTTTACGAGTACCCTCAACTGGGGGACCGACCTTCGAGAAACTCTGCACAGAGTCCGAAAAAGAGCTTTCTCGATGTTATGTTTCAGGTGGAAATTTCGACCACCCTGTAAATTGTTTTCGAAAATTTGATGAACCTGTTCATGACTTGATGCTTGAGGTGTGATTCCGTGAAATTTCATATTTTCAGCTGTTACTGTCTATGAGTTATGATTTTTTCGGAGTGGTGCTGTAACTGTCAAATTTTTCAGAAAAAAAATAATATCTCTAAAACTAACAAATTTGGGTATAGGCATTGTTATACAAAGTGGGGCTAAAATGTGCTGAGAAATTAAAAAATGTACAGGGTGTCCTTTTTGAAACAAGTAAGTTGCCCTCAAATTCCGGTATAACAGAAAGAGACCGGAAGTAGAAATAATCTCAGTTGAGAAGGCCATTTTGTAAAACCCACTACCACAAAATTTCAAGTTCTCATTTTGAATCGGTCTCCATATATTCCTAACGAACGCTCGTCGTGAAAGACCTATACAATGAAGTCGCCCCGGAGCGTCAACTAATTTTTGTTGTTGTTTTATAATTAATTTCATGATTTGTATTTTAGAATCATCAAAAACACACAATAAAAATTTTTTTCTACACCCGTACTCTAACAATACACTTATATGACCATAATCCGTTTCATAATGATATCCATTATGATACAGATTTTTCATAACGATACAGATTATCAACCAATAACTAACATTATCGATCTTCAACAACTCATTATTATTTTACAGTTACCGAAAAGTAAGGCAGCTCGACGAAGATATCGACTACGAGGGAGATTCGAATGACCTCTTCGTCAAAGCCAGCGAATCCCAAATCCCGCCTTCGAAGGAAACTAAAAAAACTCCCACTCTGTCAGCAGATAAAGTCGAAGAAATGCTTATCGAGGACCGACTTGACCAGCTGGAGACAATTCTGCCCCATTACACCAGGAGGAGGGTGTTCCAGACCTCCACCATCACAGTAACCAAGGTGTTGAGCAACAGAAAGGCTACGGCGACGATGTTGGTGAAGAATTGCATTCCTTACGGTTACGCTTTTTGCGAGCCAATTGCGAGAAGTCGGAAATCGAAAGTGGCTGAAACTGCTGACGACGATAATGAACATTATTATGGATAGATGTGTCGTGTCAAACTTAATTGAGATGTCGTGATAGAGAGCGAAAATGACAATGAATAATTTATTTGCATATGAAGTGAAAATTTGCCTTGTCTTTGTTGTATGTTTCAAATGAAAATTGAGAAAGTTAATTATTAATGTCGCTGACATTATTCATCTTTTCTTCACTTGTTGTCTTTGGAAACTACAATTTTCAGTGGTTGATGCGAAGGCCAAAATTTGAACTCTCATCCAACAAAAATTGAAAATTCTCAATGCGATTCACGAAATAAATTGCGAAGAAGGATTGTTAAACTAATAGATAAGTGACTGTCCAATATTTCTCTTGAGGAAAGAGATATTTATTTATTTATTCATTTAGAAGAAAAAAACATACAGGTGGCTAACCTAATTACATCTTTTCCACATTTATAATTATGATTCGTAGATCTACAGAAAAAAAGAGGGCTCGTTAGCAATCCTGACGTTAAATAACATAAACTAGAAATTAATTAAAAAATACAACTTAACAGAAACAGAAAGAGAAAAAAGTATCAACATTCTAAATATTTTTCTAAAAAACTACATAAAAAATACATCAGAATGGAAATATTTTCATAATTATCTAAGTAAATTAGTGTACCTATGCTTTAAAATGGTTAGAATAAGAATAGATAGATAAATATACTTTATTGTCCAAGAATAAATTCTCATTGACGAAGTGTTATGAAAATATAAATATATGTGTATATATATATATATATATACATATAAATATATATATATATATATATATATATAT